TAGATGCCACTAAATCCTGCACAGTAATTGGTGGGAAGCCTGTGAGGGATCCTCACCTTTCCCTTGCAAAAAGAAGCAATTTTGATGTTTAACCGATTGTACGAAAGAGGCCTTGGAAAATAAACCCCAGAATAACACAACAGTTGACTTTGCCAGGGATCTTCGAGTGGGTCTCCAGAAAAAACATTTTAATTATTATTTTCCTCACCAGTAAGTGAATGTTTGTGTGTTTTCCAGAATATCCAGGCAGACAAGGAGGCCTTGACAGAAGGGAGGGAGAAAACGCCAAAGTACCATCGGACAGAGGACGGATTCATCAGAATAGGTGAGACCAGTGTGGAGTAACATGTTACTTTAACTCCACTGCTTTTGGGCGTAACTAGTAACACAACTAATTACGTTTTCAAATTAAATAACGAATTTACAATTACCATTATTAGTGGACAACTGCAGAAGACGGCAGACAAACGCAGCACGTCTTGTGGTGGCCCAGACATTTCAGTCCATCCTTCAAATAATTACTGATTACCTCACGACTGTAGCAAAGCTCAGCTGATGTTTACATCTTCTTCTGAATCCTCCTGTCTACTAACCAAGACATTAACTGTACCTAACAACACTAAAATAATATAACAGACGTTTAAGAGTAACTCAAAAGTTACTTTCTCTATTAACTACTTAATTTCATATGCAGTCATTTGTTAAGTTTACTTTTGAAGAGAAGTAACTAGTAACTAATTTGCAGTAACTGCAGGTTGAATCCCCACATCAGCTGCTGAAGAGTCCATAAGCTAAACAAGCTGCTCAGTGACTATCGGTCTGTCTCAGAATAATATGGTAGAAACTTTTTGTTTATTTTTTTACTGGAAGACAAATTTAACTTATTCATTTAGATGTGGGCGCTGTGAAACACCATGTGGTATTTCAGTATGAGACTTCAGAGACAATAATTGATAATATTGAATCAGCTCCCTGCAAGGGGCCGAGCCAGCAGGAATGAGGAGTCAAAAAGCTGTTTTTATTTACCCAAAACTGAAAGAAACAGGTTATAAAATATGCAACTAAATCTAAACTCAGGCTGTGGTAACTGAAGATAAAACTAAACACAAAAGGGTCATGTGGCTGCTGTTGTCGCTGCTTGTTGTCCCCCATCGTTGCTGTTGTCGTCGTCATCATCTTCTTCATGTTCATCATCAGTCACTACTATTACTATTACTACTTCCGCAAATACAACATCCACTTTCATTGCTACGCGGATGACACCCAGCTCTACCTCTCCAGCAAACCCAATTCCACTCTCCCACCTT